TTGCTTCTGCGTTAAAAAAAATCACATATATATAATATACTGTAGTGTTCCATTTGAAATTTCGAAGTTCCTCCCCACACCCAGAAGAGGACGGCCCGGGCTTTAGTTTTTCGGCATTAAAATACCTCCTCGGGAATATTAGTTTTATTCTTATCACTTTTTGACACTCTTCTGTTGTTATCCACGAACAACGCGACATGATAATACGTGCCGCGCCAGGCCAAGGCAGGGTGAATGGCGCGCACGCGTTTTCTGTAATTACGGGAGCGAAGATTTTTAAACTGTTTGCTTCACGTATGGACTCTTGATTGGAAAAAATGATTTCTTTTTGGGATTTAATTTTTGTGAAATTTTGCAACTTTTGGGAGGGGCGTATTTCAAAGAACAAAAAAGATAAAAACTTTCGCTTTCTGAAGTCGGATTTGCAATAAAGCTGAAAACATTACCATTTTTAAAAGGAAAAAAAAAGCAAAAATACTTACCGTTCAATTTTAGCCATTTTGATTACCTTCCTACTCGTCGCAGATGGGAATAACTGGCATAATACTCCAAATTAACATAACACGGTGTTCATTAGCCAAACTACTTTTGGCTTTTAATATCTCAGGATGGGATACGAAACGAAATTTGGCACAGTAGCTTGTATTGGGCATTGATGCTATTAAATTATAGTGGTTAATATACTTTTGTTATCCACAATGATAGATATAGTGCACAATTTGTAGACATCTTAATGGTGTAGTTTCTACATATCAGTCTCTTGCATGTTTTCTTTGTTTATTTTTGATGGGAAAATGCCTTTCCTCGCAATTATTAAGTCGAGTCTGCGGGACTCTACTGTGTTATTTGTTTTTTACGTTTGCAGTTTGAAGGATTTTGTTGCATATGTTATCAAATCTTGGGCATTCATCAAAGCGGTGATTTGTAGTGTCGATTTGATAGATGAAAGAAAATACCAGATATGGAAACCTTTGGAGCAGGAGGCCCTGATTAACTATATATGAATTTCCAATGCAAACCGGAAGTCACGTTATTCAAATTAAAAATTTTCCCCTGAAAGCAGTTAATAGATGAACTATTAACTGCTCTATTGTTAAAGGAAAAGTATGATGTACTGTACAGGGCAAGACGCTACTAATTTGAAAGTGGAGAGCATATATTTTAATTATTTATTAATTTCAATTACCGTTCAATCTTAATCGTTAGGCATACGCAGTGTGCACTGCGCGCCTGCATGTGATATAATTTATTACATGATAAGTGAGCTCTTGTTGTGAATTAGAGGAGAAGGTGGTATTATGGAACACTGCAGGTATTATGGAACCACCCCATTTCGAACTGATAATAAAGGCGAACTGTAGCGGATTGTGGCTGAGCTGAACTAGGCAGACATCCATAGCAAGGGGAAAACTCGTTTTACTTCAGTTAAACGGTTGTCCGTATTTAATCAGCAAATTTGTTTTTTTCAAAATTTGCAAGTTTTGAATGCTAAGTGAATTTAATTATTTTTAAAATGTAAATCGTATAGTTGTAGGTTCACTGGTGCATGTATTCCGTTCCAGAGACTTAGGGGTATATATTAATCTGTGTATGATGTTCACGTTTTTTAAATTTTGGTCTCGACAGACATAAGTTAATTCAAGATGGCGATGCGTGAAATACGGACCCCTTTGGTGCTTTTACAGTAATATGGAACTCAACTCCTCCGAACTTTCTATTTGCAAGCAGACATTCCTCCAGAGCAATTTGTAAAAAAGACACTAGGTAGAAAGCCAATTCTTCCTGAGAATATCGAAAAAGAGCTGCTGGAATATATATTGTTGATGGAGGTCATATTTTTCTATTATAAAACCATTTTTGCGATAAAATACATTGGAGTAAATAATTTTGTAATTATTTAACATTCTTTGTACTTTCCTATTTATTTTTGGTTACATTTTTTGAAAATATACAGTAAGGTTCCATATTACCACCCGATTTTCTCTAAGCCTACTTTCTGACTTTTTGTACAAAAGCCTTCAAAAACCATACTTATAGTTACACTAGCGAAAAATCCAATTAGGAACATTTAGTTTACTAGTTACCGGTATTTTTGGCACAAAAAATGTGGGTGTAGTTACGATACCTTGTTTACAATTCACTAAAAGGTAATTGGGGTTCCATAATACCACCTTCTCCTCTATAGTTTAAATGATAATATTGATATTGCGGCTGCATAAAAAAATATCTATTGTATATATTCGATATAAATGATAAATTCTGTTAACATTCCTACCATAGCCTTTTTTCATAGCCGTGTAATCTGGAATAGTATGATACCGCTCTGGGGAACCCGAGATCGAAAAACCTCATGAATTTTTTGAGATTGTCTATCCAATTATGTCCGGCTCTATTTCTTACCATCCTCTGCTCCATTGAAGTTCTGGCCGAACCCGTAATGGGCTTGCTCTCTCTTAGTGCCCACAAGGCAGAGTTTAAAAAAACTATAGCCTTTATTTCTGAGGACTAGTTCTTTGTTATATTTCAATTCCCTTTAAACTACATTAATAGCTTAATTTAAATGTCCCATCAAGAATATTTCTGACACATTTGACAAAACCATTGAACTTACACACCATGAACGTAGGAATCAAATGAAACTTCATTAATGAGAACGTAATACTGGTGGTGATAAGCGATTAAATCATCATATCACAAAGACAATTTCCTCTGGAACGATACAATTTAAAAGTTGAAACGGCCGAAGCCATGGCGGTCAGAGCGTCAGACCACCATTCTGAGGGATCTGGAATCGAATCAAAGCAATTATCCAGAAATTTTTCTCGGGTCATTCCCGAATACGTCGGACCGCGTACCTCGCCACTCAGCTGCTTCCATTATGGGCCCGGCCCAAACCCGCGATGGGTACGGGAAAAAGGCTTTACTAGAGCCCGAAAATTCGGAAATTCCGAATAATGGATCTCTGCTAGCCTTTTTATAGAATACTAAGGTAGTGATTTTAAGACACTCTGATGGCATTACCTGGCATGCAATCGGATCACAACTGTAATCGTTTTACGTAGGTGTATACCGAGGTTTGAAGTCATCGACCAATTCTGTGTGCGTAACTTTTCTGCCAAGGCGCGTATTGTAAATGTCACGCGTATAAAACGACGTGACATTTATCGTCGCATTATACCGAAAATATGCGCCACATCTGTAAGATGTTCATTATTTAATTATAGAATGATAATATACAAAATATAGTTTTGCAAAGCACCCAGATCTAGTTGTATTTTTTTTTCCTTTACATTCTTGGCACGATATTACAGTACAACCATTTCTCGTTCCACGATTTTTTCTTAGATCCTGTGTATATAAGCTTGCTTATACTTTGCGTGAAATTTCAAAATATGCTTGGATTGATTTGGATTTCTTACGTTTTTAATGTCATGTTTTACTAAAGTATAAATTTAAAACAGTAAACTAAAAATTTTAGGTTCATAAGCAAAATATGGTTCTTTCAATGCTTAGAGTCTAATCCCTCCATATTCATATGAGAATTTAAAACAGAATTATTAACCGTTAGAAAATATTATATACAATATATAAAAGTTTCTTTTGTTGCAGGCAAATTTAACGTAGAACATTCCAAAAGTGTGATTCTGAATAGTTCTGAAACGTTTTGGTTTTGTGGACCAATCTTGGGAGCACTCAAAACTGATTTATTTATTTATTCAGATTTCATACTATTATTAACCTTTCTCTCTTTCATTTCCAAACATAGCTAACTTCTTTGAAAAAATTATTTCATGCTCTTTTTTGTATTTGAAATATAATAATAAATTTATGTTCAATATTATTATTTGCTATAGCTAAGCACCTTTTGCATATATTCATACAGAATATTTTAATGGTCAATTTTAATTAAAAATGACTTTCTCTCCCTGATAAATGAAAGTGTGTAGTCTAATTTTATTATTATTTTTTTTAACAGGAATACAGTAGAAAAAATTGTGATGAGTACCAAAAGTACTTATCTGATGTAGTGCAATGTACAGTACTTGGTACATTGCACTACATCAGATTGGTACTTGCCTTATCTATATTAAATATACTTACTTATTTTGTGAAAAAATGAGGGTGTATCTTATACAAGATGTGTGCGTGTGTGTTTATATTAATTTTCCTACCTAAAGCATTTGTTGACAAATATTACAAATAGTTCATTTATATTTTAAATCAATGTTTTCCAAATTTGTCTTGTGCTGCTCCTTAACAGTAAGACCCTGCATAACACTATCCCATTCAATGCATGGCAAATCTTAGCATCAATGATTTTTACAAATTAGAAGAAACATACAAAGAGAAACTTACAAGCTTTCTCAGCAATATCATCATCAATCATGCAAATTATGTAAAAACTCATAGAAAATGACGAATATTGTGAACAGAGTTGTAACACTTAAAGGGTGTTGTAGAAATGAGAGTCCCATTGTGAGTAAAGGAATAAACAATAATTTACTCTTTATGGTTACATCATCAATATGCTAAATATTTTAAAAAATCTAGTCAGGTCCATTGTCTAAAGTGCAAAGCTATAAATAGATAAACTTATATACATATATTCTGTCCTTATTCATGTAATGTTAAAATGACTTAGTTTAGCATTGTTTTATATAACAGTGTTACTGGTAGAACTTTGAAAGTATTCTTAAGAATTAAGAGTTTTTCTCTGCTATTTGAGTTTTTATGAAACAGATTTACTTTATGTATTTCATTGTAATGATATGAAATGTAAAATAACAGATAATTTTCCATTTTTTCACATGAACCTTACATACATTTAAACATTATGTTAAAATCAAGAAACTAACAAATGTTTATTCTTAATAATTTCAAAACATCCAATAATTTATGTTACATTTTTTCTGGTAAATGATTATTTTTAATCATTTACCAGAAAAATTCAACTTGAAATTCTTAAACAGATATTGAATATTCTGAATATATACAATATATCGGATTCATTAAAAAATATTTATTAAAATTGCTATACAATTTATATACAAATAACAAAATCTCAGTCATGTTGCTACTTTCATGTTACATTTTAAATATTCAAGAAACATGGATTGCTGCATCAATTTATTCACCCTTTTAAAATGCCTTTCTAAAAAAAGAAAAAATATATATGTGAGAAATTACAAAATAATAATTTTGAAGTAATTTATATAGAACTGACCTGTGTATGGTAATAACTCTTGAACAGTTATATGTGCATCAGGAAATTTTAGGATTTGTTCTGAAGTATATGTTCTAAAGATGATATTAATTAAAACTTGGGCTGGATAACAATGTTTACTGTTTGTGTTCCATGTCACACAAAATTTTAACAAAGCAGCTGCAAAAATTCAAAAATTATTTTATTTGTTATTTAACACATATGGCAATGATATTCACAGAAAGTATTGTGCAATAGCTTGTAATTTTCTTTTTGTTTTACTGAAGATTGTCACTTAGGCTTCTTTTAAAACTAATACATAATTAAATTCTTTTTACTTTTGTACTTATTTTTTTACCTATTTTTAGTCTGGATAACTTATCTAGGATGCAAGAGTTACACGTATAGTCATATTATTACATATTTTGGTGATTATTTATATATTATGTTTAATTTAAATTGTGTGAGACATTCTGGAATGTAATCTCTGCATAAAGTAAAAACATACTGTATTTTTTTTATTTACATAAGCATATTAACAATGCAGTAAATTTTAAATCAAAATATATTAAATACAGTGGGTGATCAGTTAATGAACAGTTTGGACTATGAACAAATCAGGTAATGAACATTTCTGTAAAAGATTTTTACATTTGGATAAATGAACACCTCACAGAACAAACACAATGTAAAATAATGAATACTGATTGATATTCCCTCGTCTTCAGGCAACAATTCTAAACTTTTTGGAGCACAGGAGACGTTGACATCGACGCTCAACCTGGTATATACTGATCTAATAGTATTCTCCAAACTATCAAACTATGAAACTCTTCCTTGTAATTCCAGCCTTGTGGGCAGAAGATGTCTGATGTTGCTGGGCAGTATGGCTTGAACAGGTCTACAGTAGGTGCAGTTCAATCTTACCTAAGAAAGATACTTGTATAATCAAGAAGACTCAAGCAGCTTAAGGAGTAACAAAAATCACATCTGAGAAATAAAGAACATTGAAGAGCTCATAATGGAACCTGAAATGGATTTGACAACAGAACACCAATAAATTTTGAATGAAGAACATCAAGAAACTCGATGAGATATGTTTTCTTCTGAAAAAGAGGATTAATTTAATTAATGATGATATCTGCTATTAAAGATCTTTTGAAGAAGTGGGAAGATGTTAGAACAATGGTCTTAGAATGGCATCCAAATCAGGTTGAGGTTAATAGGCTTAGGGATCTCTACAATTACAATGCTATTACTTCTGAAAAATCCTGAAGAGAGAAAAGTAATTGGCATTAGACAGATTCTTTAATCCCCACAAATGGAAAAAACATAACTAATAAAAATGCAAGACTGTGCATATATGTATTTTTATTATTATGTATAAATAAACATAGTAAGAAAGTATATATTTTTTATTTTTTGGAATTTCCAGAACAAATTAATCAAATTCCCATAAAAACCTATGGTAAATTGATAATCGGTTAATGAACAAAGTCTTGGAATGGATTATGTCTGTTACCCAATCACCCACTGTATATTTAATATAAATGCATGTATTTAATTATGAATATGATAATATTTATCAGAATTCATATAGTAGAATTTTTTTTTAAATTTTAATTAATGAATTCTATAATGCATCCATCATGTAATGTACAATTTCAAAGTATGAATATTTCAACCTAGTACTTTGAAAAATGAAAATAATTTTTAACCTCACAAAATTCAAAGTTTATTAAAATAAAACAGGATAAAAACAAATAGCTTATCTTTTAATTTTTAAAATATTTATTTTGATTATTTACTCAACTCAATTCTGATTCAAAAAGTTTTAATTTTATTTTAAAAGGTGCAAATAGAGTTTATTCTAACAACAATTACTGGTTGTGACATTGCTATTTATGTCTTCAAAAATATATTTTATTTAAGTATATGATAAAAATCATTTCAATAAATAAAGAAATTTAATAATGAATACAGTATAGTATTTTCTCAAACTTAATTATATTACTGTAAATTTAAACTAGGACATCACACAACTTTGCCACATTGTGATAGAATTACAGTAAAAAGAAAGAAGTAATCCTTGCACTTGTTAGACCTGATGGATGCATACTAGTGAACTTTGCATTTTCTGCCATAAAAGACGCTTTCCTTGTACCTGCTGGCCATGGGAAACACAATTCTTGCACTTACCAACACATTAAAAGAACAAAGCAATTGATGGCAATTGTTTAGTTCTTGTGTTTTAGTTTGTTTTCATGCCTATTTTCCATTAGGTGAACGCAATGATTTTTTTTATTTTGGACCCGTAGGCCTAAATTCTGTTAGCTGTGCTCAGTTGCATCAGAGAGAATGGACATTGTCACTTTAATACCTCTGTATATTGAAAATGAAGTTATGGACTCATATTTTTTACATTTAAATGGACCTTCATTACACTTCTGGACTCCTCATTGCAATTAATGGAAAATGGCAAAGTTTTATCAAAATTGGTCCATTAAATTTTGAGAACAAACTCAATTCTATAAACCCATAGAAGACATGCTAGCAACTGTGGAACATTGCATGACAAATCTGCATGATTCATGCAACATTGCTTTGTCATGCGCACTCGTAACTTGCACTTATATTTCAAAAACAAAGTCATGGAGCCCCATTTTTTATTACATTTTTGGATTCCTCATCACAATTAATGGAAAATGGCAGAGTTTAATCAAAATTGATTGAAACGAACACAATTCTGTAGGCCACATAGAAGAGACTTTGCTAATGTTCTGACTCAAATATTTAAAATTTCTATTTTAAGGTATAATAATTTAATATATATTAATTCATGCTTAATAATATAAAATTCTAAAAGGTGATAACATAGAAGTATTATTTATTTTATATTTAATTTTTAAAATTTTATAAAATTTTAAAAATTAAATAATTTTTTTATAAAATTTGGCAGCTTAATACAAAACAAATGTATTACTATAAAGTACTTTTTGCTAAAACATTAATTAAAATTATTAAATTTTTCTTTTAAATTACATTAATTGTAGTGATGAGTTCATTTTCATAATCAAATGATCATTTAAATAAATCATTCAAATCTATAAAATTCTCTCTTTTAACTAACTTCTTGCAATTTTTCATATGTTTAGTGCTAAAATGATCACTTTACATTTATCACATTAAGCATAAAAAAGTAAAAGTTTTCAAACAATTTTCAAAATTCCATTAATAATGTAACACATTAAATGCAACTAAAAATAGTTAAATATTTCACTTTAATTTATAAAATTATTAAAGTGTGTTTATTTTAAATAAATATGTTTAAATGCTAAAACTGTTATAAATTATTCACCATTGGAACAAATTAAGACACATCATCAAAATAACTATTTAATCAGCTATTGTTTTTACATTGCATTATAGGAAGATGTGTAACAGTCTAATGTAATATTTCCCAACAGGATCAAAATCCCTTTGTAGACAAAAATAAATATTTGAAGAAGAAAATTAATTTTCTGATGCAAAATTTTAATTATAGACTATAAAATTTTTCAACCTTTTTAGATAATTTTTTTTCTTTATTTAAGGTTAAAATGGGAACAAATAAATAATTCAAATGATTCTAAAATAATTTGAAATATTTTGACAATCAAATAATCAATTATTTTTTGTTTGAATAAATTCATCATTAATTAATTGGGTTTTTGTACTATTCTTATTGTGCTTTAAATTTTTAATATTCATTTGTAGAATACGGTAAATACAAAAAACAAAAAAGATTTCACTTACTTATTTGATCTTCTCTCATTTCTGAAATAATATTTTTCAATTTATCAATTCCTGTAGAATCCAAAAGTATTTCTAAAACAAAAGAAAAAAAGTGATTATTATACTCATGTAAAATTAAGAGTAATTTTATAGTTTCAACTTCAAAATTACAAGTAATGTCATAGTTCTACATGTAAAGCCAGCAAGTCAGATATTGCAGATTAATTGATATATAGAAACTAAATCAATATTTTGGGGTGGTATGAATTATCGAAGTTAGAAATATGTTAATGTAACAGCCGAGTTTCATAGCAATTGATCAAACAGTCTGGCGTGAACAGCAAATAAACATCCTCATTTATGTACATAGATATAAATATAGATTAGATTCTATATATATATACATATAGAAATAGTATGTCTAATTAATATATATAGAGCAGTATACAAAAATTATAAATTTAACTAGATTGCACCATAATTTACATATTATGAAAAATACCTACTTTTTATTATGTTAAGAGCACGAAATGGTTGTTCTAAAGTAATTGCAAGAGAGATAGCATGGATCCAATCTTTAGCTTTAATAAGATTTTTTAGTTCCTGTTCTCTAAAATTAAAAACAATACATTTTTTAAAATATACATTGAAACTTCAAAGAATTAAAAAATTCTACTAACTGCAAAATTAAAGTTTCATTTTTGATAATTTCAGCTTCTTTCTCCTCTTTTGTGACATCCTGATAAAAATAAAAATACACTTATTGTATACTATGTTAATTTTATTTCTATTGTAGATAAATCAATTAAATCATTGCTTAGAACTAACCTTCCAAATAATAATAGTGGAATCTGCACCTCCTGAAATAATTATATCTTCACTGTTAGTAGTTGTAATAGCCCATACTTTATCTGTATGGACATCTAACGATTTCACCATTTCATTTGTTTTAATTATCCATAATTTAATAATGCCATCTGATCCACTAAATTTGAATATTAATTTTATTCATTAAAATAAAAGTCACAGCTAAAAGAATAATACATTTAATGATGAAAAACTTAAAACTAAAATTATATCATGCAAAACATATGGTATTATAAACAATTAAGATTTAATTTCAAATATTTTTAAATTTTTATACTGACTGCAAATTATACTATACTGATGCTTCTACATATTTAATTATGTACTCTAATCCATTAAATTTACAAATGCAAATATGTTTATAACATAATTTAATAAAATTTTAAATTTAATATTTATACCATTCATATTATTATTAATTTATTTACTTTCTAATCAATATTTCAACTCAAATCAAACTTTAAAAATTAAAATTTGATCTCATCATCTCAATGATTTTTATGAAAACAAANTATAAAATTAAAATAATAATATATACTGGATAAAGATGCGTTGAAATTAAAAATATCTATTTCTTAGGTTTGAAAAAAAGTAGGAAAAACAATGTACTTTTAAAATTTTATTTTGACATCATTCTTGTTTTAATTCTATTCAAGGGCTGACAACTCTAAGATTCACAACCAACTGCAGTTTTATTTTGAAGCAGGAGGCAACAAATATTTAAATTTCAATGATACAGAGAAATTGGATAGAATACTTTCTAATGAAAAAATTCTGGGCGTTCTGATGTCATGCTGCAGAATCAAGATACAAAATAATATCAATAGAAAAACCATACATGCAGCATTGCCAAACAGAATAAATAGGTATTTATTAAAATAAATATTTAGAATATTTAGATGCTATTATGATATTATGTTTATACAAGGTGGATGGAAAGTTACTAGGCATTGAGAAACTGCTATAATTTCTATATTTCTAATGCAAAGATGACAAGAATTATTTGAAATGTATATTATTAAATTGAAATATGGAAGCATATCTTAAAATTCAATACAGGTACCAGTGCCATCTATCCTTTCTCAAGAGACTGGGATCTGTGAGGTGAATGGCTGGCCACTTCTTTGTGTCCACACTGAACCTGTGGTCATTGGCTTCAAATGACAATTCTTGATTGTTTCTGGATGATTTCTGGCATGATGTTTCTTTCCTGTACACCACTATCTCTGCACAGCAACCACTGATTTCCACACCTCATAGCATGCAGAAATCTGTGCTCGCTCTTGAGAAGACAAATGGTAAGCCATCTTTTTTGCTACTGCATGTGTGGCCTCTCTCAATCACTGTCCACACCATCAATGTAGAAATTATAAAATTTCATTGACTGATGTACATAAACACAAAAATATTATAATTACATTATTATTACCAAAATTATATCAAATTCCTCAAAGCCTAGTTATTTTTCACTTTCCTGTAGAAGTAACATAAATGTTTCCTTGAGCAGCAAGAATAAAACCAAGGTAGTGATTAAGGATCACACAATATATACTCAAGGGCCAAATGTAGACCTTGAGCAATTGATTCTATTTAAAAGGTAACAAAAGTACTTGAACTTTCAATGTTTAACATTTTCTGTATTATCATTAAAAGATTATAACATGAAAATTGATATAAAATAAGAAATGTCTGTAACAATGAGAACATGATAAAATTTTATTCTTATTATTAAAGATATTATACTAACAAGTATATGTTTAATTTAAACAAGATGGAAAAAACGCGTTTATTATAATTAGATGTTAATTTCAGAATAAATTACTAGAAATAATAAGCGAATTTTTAAGCATATCTATTTTATGATGCAACTATTTAAATTAAAGAATAACATTACATACTTTATTTTTATTATTTAAAAATATTTAATTACTAACCTTGATAGAATTTGTTTGCCATTATTGATGAAGATAAATTTTAAAACAGAACATTCATGACCTTGAAATGTCTAAAAAAAAGTGAATAACAAAATTAATTGAGGTAAAAATGTTCAAAATAAAATAGTGGTAAAATATTCTTTTATTATTTATAATAGTACTAATAATATCTGAAATGAACCAAATTAAAATATCTTAAATTATTTTAAACAATGCTTTTATATGTTTTTAAAATCATTCTGATTGTCTTAATAATAAAATGTTTTTGTAGTCATTTATAATCAGCCAAGTCTGAATTGTAGATTCCTCTGGAAATAAGTAGTCTAAGTAAATTGAAAATATTTATAAATTTTAATCTTTGTATAAGAACACTATTAAAAATGTCATTTGAGCTTGTAATTTAGTTGGAAATCTTAAACTATACTTGATGATTATTTAAAATTAAAATAAACAATTTTTTATTCTAAGATTATATTTAAGAATTGTGTAACTTTTAATAGTGTGCAAGAAAATTATCAATTTGTATAAATAAATTTTAATGATGATAATAATCATAATCATAACTGATGATGATAAAATTAAAATCCTCAATTCCTCTTTTGCAACAGCAGAGCTATACAAACAATTGAGAATATTTTAATTTTCAGCAGAAAATGTTGAGTATTAAAAACTATTGTTTATTAACAACATTTCAATTTTCATCGCTTCAGCTAAACTTCTATTCTGTCTTATTATTTAATGTTTTTAGAAAATTCCGATGAATAATTTCCCATATTCTTTATTTTGTTTCCAAATTTCATAGGTTTATCAACAAATATTTATTTAATAATCATTTTTAACTATCCAAACATTTTCATTATTTTTATTATAATTCAAAAATTGTTTATGTCATAAATATATGTAACTTGATTTAACATTTGATACATTTGTAATGTTTTTCATAAAATCCTATCTTTTTACTTCCTAAAACATTAAATATTTATCTCATTGAGATAAATCTTATTACCTTCATTAGTTTTAATGTTCATAATATTCACAATAAAACTATAAATTATTGTATATGTGGAATAGCATAGTAGAGCTGCCAATGTTATCTATATTGCTTTTCTAACTTCTTGTTACTTAACAAATTTAATTATTCAAAAATTTTTCTATCGTAATTTGAAAGAATATTATTCTCAATACTAAATATTAATTAATACACATACCTTTACACAGCTAAAATCAGATAAAGACCACATTTTAATCGTACCATCAGCAGATGATGATGTTAATACCTAAAAAAATATTTAAATTTGTATTAAAACTAGTATTTTTATCTTGCTAAATAACTATTTCCATGTAAGAACTTATATGGAATTTCAAATTTAAAAATAAATAAAATGTTGAAATTGTAACTTATAACTAAATAGATGAATACTGATTGTTAAAATTCACAATAATATTCACTTACACCTATATGAAATTAGCTAATACTTCTTTAACAATATAAGAATGTTATTTACAGAATTTGTATTATCATAGCTACAAATTCTTATTTTATTTACATTATGAAAAAATAATTCTTTTAATTAACAGAAATTATCTATAAATTGATAGAAAAATATCTAAAGATATAATGTGTTTTATGTATAAAAGATAATATATGGCCTCAATGTCTGTGGTTATGTGATAACTGAAATACAATGTGATCATAAAATCTCTCTGAAATGGGCCTTGCCTATTTAACTTAGTCATGTGGTGATGTCATAATTTACTTTAACTCTTTTGATGTGTAGTCTGCCTGTGACATCATTACTTCATTCCTGGAAGCTCCTTCCATTTCCCTGCCCAATGTGGAGGGACTTTATGATTGCATTGTATAATGTTTATTTACTATTTTTAAAATACAAACATGACAACACACAGATGCTATTTGAATATAATATTTATTTTTAAACTCAGCAAGATTGTGACATGTGGTATTTGAATCAATAAATTGATAAATTTGTAATTTAGAAAAAATGAAATAAGACGATTACTTTTATGTGGTTAGCATAAAGTGAAGAAACCAATTAGCAGAACATGATTATCAGATAAACAAAACCAAGAAAAATACCATGATGATTAATCAGTAACAAAGACACAATACCACAAAAAAAAAAAAAATGATAAGATGCATCAAGACATAATAACTGTAAGTGAAATGACAGATTGCCTTTTTACAACAATGAAGATAGATATGTTTATTAGGTAATTTACATATTTTAAGCTATTTATGAAGAAACAAATAAAAATGTCATTTTCTACCATCAGGTGTCCCAAAAACAATGTTGTGCCATTCAGGAGAATCAAAAATCCATTATAAAATTATCTACTTGACTAGTATCCTGCAAAAGAATTTTTGTAGTCTGCTGATATTATTATTGTTAATTTGTGCCAAAAATATTAAAAACATTTAATGATATCTACAATCAATTATCTTAAGCATGTATGATAAATTTCTATTTTTGCAGCTATATTTGACAAGCTGTAAATTTATTGAATATTTTCTATTTTTTGGTCCTTGATCTAATTATTAAAAATTTCAGCTTTTTGATATATGGATATTGGAAAGAAATGATATAAAATAATAAAAAAATATTTGTACAGTATTTGAAAAACATTAATTATAATACAGCTCAATGTAATAATTTTAATATAATAAATTTTGAAGTCTGCTAATCATCCATTCTTTCAAGCATTTCAATTGTATAGTTTTTAAATAAAGACATTATTTCTAAAAACATAAGTTTGAACTTATAAAAGAATATCTCCATTTACTTCTGTTCAAATAAAACAAGTGCTAATAGCAACCTTCATAAAAAATTATGATAATTATAATATGCAAATGTGAGCACTGTCTCATTGTAATAATCATATATCATATTATTCATGAATTATTATGATGGAAAAAACAGCATAATATATAAAATTTATAATAAAAGCAACTAAAATGTCTAAATAATTCATTACTTATTGTTATATTTAAATACACACAGATTAAATTTATATAAATTTGAATCTATTATTAAAAAGTATTTTACTATTATAATATAATACAGTGATTCCCAAACTAGTGAGATCTGGTTTACAAACAAAATATGATGTTTGTAAACCAGATATATGCATATGCTATCTGTAAACAACATATACATCTATATCAATAGCATGTACAGTAAATGGATGATGCTAGTGATACCATAAAACCATCAAGTGTCCAGTAAACTTTTTAAGAAAAAGATGACCATTTGAGTAACATTTGAATTCTTTCTCTCAAATCCTTTTTGGCTATTTCAATTTTATCCAATAAGCATTGTTGTGTGGCAAGCAGGCATAGCAAATAATCTGCAGAAAATAAAAGACCTGGTGTGAAAAAAATTTTGAAATTTTGAGGTGTAGATTGTGTTATTGTGGACAAAAGATCTGACAGCATGTTTGCTTACTTTTTCTATTCATAGGATAAAAGTAATTTTTCATGTTTCTTCATGATCCATGATTAAAAGTTATGATTCAAACTAGGTTGAATTTAGCTCCCATCTGAAAAATTTGTGATGACACAGATTGCTCCAATTCCAGAAATTACTGGAATTTCTTCATCTTGCTCTTTCACTTAGAAATTTTTAATGTGTATTTATTGGAATTCAAATGATCCCTCTAACTTAGATGACTAATTTTGTTTTTAATGTAATAGAACCAGAGTAAAACTTAAGGAAATCATTTCTAATTCTGTAATAAAAAATAACTATAATTTTGTAGGTATTTTTTAGAATAAATATTGTATTTGTATTTTATTATAGAAATATAAATTTCTCAAACCTGACTGTAATTCTTGTAACACAAAACTTAATAGTGTTAGGTACCACTAAATGTTTAGGTCTATGCATGCCATTGTGTGTGTGTGTGTGTGTGTGTGTGTGTGTGTTGTGTGCATGTGTTTAGGCTTGCAAGCAATATTTGTATGTATATAAGTATGAATACTAGGTTTCTGGAAAAATAATTCAAAATTGTATGAGAGGTGATATGTATACTAATTATATCAAAAATAATATATCAAAAAAATAATGTTTTATAATGAAAATTATGTTTCTTTCAGTGTATTTTAGGAAAATAGATGCACATTACTCAATAACCTTCTGAACATTTTACAAATCCTCTAAAATATTGATATAATCAATGTAATTACATAAGTTAAACTCTGCATTAAAGCGTTTAATAAAGAAGAATGTGCTTGCAAGAATAGAATAAAATTCAATATTAAGCAATTTATAAGTTCAACTAGAATCTCATAATTTTCTAAATTACAAATAATTGTCTAATGATACAAACCTGATCTAATGGAGAAAACTGTACACACCAAATACCACGTCTATGTCCTCTGCACACTCCAACTAAAGATAAATCTTTTGAATTCCATACCTATGAATAAAATAAAAACATACCCATTATATTTAAAAGTGAAAAATGTACATGAAATAATATTCAATTTTCAAAAGAGTTAAAAATTTTTAACATAGATACATTTATAACATTCAATCTTAATTTAAAATAAACGATACGTGGATGATATTCTAATAATATACAACGAAACAGAAATAAAGATAGAAGACATCAATAAACAAATTAATAATATACAAGATGAGATAAAATTTAAAACTGAAACAGAAGACACAACCAAAAAAGAAATCAACTATTTAGACATTACGATAAGAAGATTAAAACAAAGTTTAGAATTTAGAACATTTAAAAAGCCTGGATCGAGTCAAATAACAATACGATACCAATCTAACGTACCACTTCACGTCAAATATAACATATTTAAAATGGAATATTCTAAGATAAAAAACAGGACAAGTCAAGAAATACATATATCCGCAGATTTAGCCGAATTAAAAAAGAAGTTTCTCCTGGCAGGATACCCACAAAGACTAGTGAAAAAATGGGAACTTAAGATAAATAATCCTAAAGCACAACAGGTTAATAAGAAAACAAATAGCATTAAGTATATTGGATTTCCATATATTAAAGGATTACACGAACAAATTGATAATGAAATAAGCAATATGCACTTTAAGTTAGCACCGTCATACCAAAAAATGTATACAAAATTAAAACAATTCGAAAATGAGAAAAAACAACAACCACCAACAGAAACTAAGAACGTTGTGTATAAAATTCATTGTACTTGTAGCAATAATAAATATTACATAGGAGAAACAAAAAGGAAGCTAAAAACTAGATTAAAAGAACATATAGCGGATCTGAAATACAATAGACTAAATTCCGCCTTCCATGATCATTGCACCATGAATGATTGTACAATAGATAAAGATAATATACAAATACTCCACAAAGAAAAAGAAACATATAGTAGAAAGTTTAAAGAAAGTGTAGAAATTCTCAAAGGAAAAAAATGCATAAACAAAAATCTAAGTATTAAAATTAATGAAAACTGGCTAAATATCTTATAATCTGCAGAAACGATAATTTATGTAGAAGGTAATTTCTTGAAATATTTTATGTAAACAGGATTTTTAAAATGAAGTATTTTCTTGAAAAGAAATAATTTGTATAAAAAAGACATTTTAAGAAAAAAGATATTTCATGTAAAAAGTAATACTGCCACAAGGTGGCCTGCTAGTCATATGACTATAGTAACCAGTGGTACGCTTAACTGGGGGAAAGAAGAGGGGGAGGAGAGGTCATCCCAATGGTTTGCAAAAAGAGGAAATTGCATGATTTTGAAAGACAAATATGTCAATTTTAGTATTGTTGTAAATGTATAAAGAAAAATTTTAAAGTGTTTAGATTTTATAACAATGAAAAACAAATAATTAGGTACGTACTTCATTGTAATTTTGTCATGTAAATCCATAAAAAATAAGGTTTTAAAATATTTTAGATAATATAAACCGTATGTTTTCTTAGATTAAAGTGTGTTAAGAGCCAAGAAATTTTTGTAATTCCATAACAACCAGTAAGCATAAGCGATGAAACCTGTGGTTTTTAATATCTTGATAACTCGTAAATTAAAAAGGTATGTTTTTAGAAAAACAATACCTAATATCTTTGTTATTTGTAATTTTATAGTGTTAAACTTTTGTTTTTAGTTGGCTGAAGAGGGGCAATAAATGCCCGAAACGTGTGTAATATCAACACGTATCAACTAAATAAAAACTTGATGATAAAAATTGCCAAGTGCCTGAAAATAAATACGATAATAATTTGTGTTTGAATTACTACTAATAACTACTAGCACGGTTTCAAAGTACCAAAATTTAAAATAAATTGAATTATAGAAAATATAAGTACAGTAGAGCGTCGATTATCCAAATCAATTGGGGACTGGGTTGTTCGGAAAATCAATATTTCGGATAATCGATTATGTATGAAAAAATATATTAACCTATCCCATGTTGAAATTTTTCTCCATTGTGTGTCACTTCGTGTTGAATTTTCGTTGATGTTAAGCCTAACGAAGACTATAGTATCGTTAAAAATTATTTTTTTATTTTGTGCAAACAAAATAAATATATTGAAAAATATAAAAACAATAAAAAATTATACTTCAGAAGTTAATTTAGTATCAAAAACGTAAAATATTTGAGTAGCCCAAGACACAGCCAAAGATTGCAGCGCCAAGCACTGGTGAAAATTTAAATTTGCCGACTGGAATTCTTTCAGATAATTGACGCTCTACTGTAGAAAAGTGATTTTTAATAACATCTCATAACAGATAATGCCAGACACAATTTTAACTTTGAGCTAGTGTCATGGTGTTTTTTAAACTTAAATACTTTTTTGCAATTTTTATCATAATTCACAAAATTACCCATTTAAGCTTTTCTTATTACTTAAATTTTATATCCTAGTATAATTAAAAATTATTGAACTTCCTAATGGTCACCCTAACCTACTGTTTGAGTGCCAGGAAAGTCAAGCAAGGGCCATTGACAGCTTTTTTCATTTGTTTTGTAGATTGTAAATATTTTTATTTTATATCTAGTCTATCTTTTCTCAGATTTCCAGAGATAAAGATTATCTTAACTGATCATATAAATCCTTCATAATATCTATTATCTATTACTACAGTATTTGTTGAATTTTCTTGAGATGTTATGCATCATAGTATGACATTTAATATTCAAGAATATTAAATGTCATACTATGACAGAATCCTGAGTATTGGTTCTTTTTACAATAATAATAATTTAAACATAATGAATTCTATGAAAAATTGCCATGAAATTCATTAACAACAAAACATAAGCAGCGTTCTCCCCCTAGAAAAATTTGTAGGTGGCCAATTTACAACATTATGACTATGAAAATGCAAATTTCCTAATAAACTTTAATTGCAACAAAACAATACTTGTACTATAACACTCAATTGCATACCAGTCTCTAGTATAGTTATCAGTAAAATAATAATTGTAAATAAAATAAAATAAATATTTTTAACTAGTCAATTGACCAGCTAATTAATTTATTTATTATGAAATTTGGAATAAAAGTACACTTGTTTCATGAATATTGTCCAGGCTGTAAAAATGCACAGAGCAGACACCAGTCTATTTACTTAGTGAATGGAGCAGATTATCTGATAAGTATGTGACAGGGTCACTGTGCATTATCAAAAGAGGCTTTCAAACTTTCAAGCTTCCAGAGCCTCAACCAAGTACCATGTATTGCCTGGATATATTCAAGATATATGAAACGATCTGTATTGTTACCATCTTATCAGCACCTAAAAGATAAGAAAAAATTGCCCCATGTTTAATTCAAATTTCATAATTAATTTATTTATGGCCTTACAATAATTTTTTAAAAATCTGATCATTTTTAGTTATCTCTGTACTTATTCCTATTTAGTTAAAAATTATTTCATAATAGAGATATGTATAAATATTTACTTTTGCTGTTTTATCTTGAGATCCAGTTGCAACAAACTTATCATTTGGAGAAATTGTAATGGAATTTATATTCTTGTCATGAGCAACAACAGTACATGTGGATGACAATGATTGATCATTTGATGCTGTGTTATTCTGTTTAGGTAATGCCCACAGCTTGATAGTCATATCTTGACTGCAACTGACAAATGTGTAATGATCTAATCTGCACAAAATAAAATTTAGTAAAATTTAACTAAAATTACTATTAAATAAAATACAGAAAAAATCATATGTTATATCTTTATAAATCTTAAAATTCTTAATAAATGTATTTATAATGAGATTAAATAAATAGTCTATATCAGACAGGCCAACAAGTCTATCACAATTAACTAATTAATTCTGTCATCATTTTTGACCAATCATTGATAGCATAACTTCTTAAAATGAGAAAAATATTTGTAATATCCATGGAAATACAGATTCTATATTTCCATTATGAAATCTTTAAACTATTGCTATGGGTTGCTAGTGCTGTGTTGTATGAGATGAGTTTCAGCTTCATTTCTAATTGTAGGACAGTGTAAAAAAGCACATGCAGATATTGAACATGAAACACAAAGTAATGGAGCATGCATGCTCTTTGTGTCAATCTCTATGTTTTTATTTTAGAAATTGCTTTGTTGCACCAAAGCAAATTCAGTTATGTGAAAAATGTTTCTGTAAACAAGAAGTGAAACTTATGAATGTAAGACAAAAGAATATAAAATTCCTTTATATTATGGTAAATGATAAATGTTTCTGTTCAGTTTGTGTCTATCTTTACAAAAAAAAAAAAGCATGAAATGTCAATTATCATGCAATAAATAAACATAATTATATTTTCAGCATAATTTTATAAAAAATAAATTGATAAACTTTTGTAAAAGAATAAAAATAAAGTAGTAGATCATTGGTACTTTTGACACATGAAAGTTAATTATATCCCACTATAAGTTGGCCAAGCCTGTTCTATATGAATTCAAAGCATTAACATTAAAATATTGACATTTACATTTAGATGTGCAAAAAAAAAAAAATTATTATTATTCTTAGCTAAAAAGGAAAGATGTACAAATCCTTAGTCACAAAGAAATTACATGGATATAAACAACTAAATTTACATTAATTGATTATTAATATTTACTAAAATGGATATTTTAAAATAGCAAATCTCCTTTTTTTGCAAAAGATATTATCACATAATAAACAAATAATTTAATAATTGTCAAAATATTTTCAGCAATAGAAACAGAAATAAATAACAAATCTAACTATACACAGTTACATTTTTACTATTTATTCCTACTTCTATTACTGAAAAATCTGGTTTCTATAAATATACCTTGTTTTATTTTTTCATATTAACTTGAGACACAATTTTAACTTTGAGCTAGTGTCATGGTGTTTTTTAAACTTAAATACTTTTTTGCAATTTTTATCATAATTCACAAAATTACCCATTTAAGCTNTATAATAGTTAAAAATATTTTTTCATTTTCATCCATTTTTGTGTTTTAATGAGATATTTCAACAGAGTTTTATGCTTTTTTAATACTACATAACTCTAAAGATTAAAAATTATATAAGATTTTAATATAATCTTATTTTTAACTATATAAATCGTAGAATAAAAGATTTAAAGTTTACCTTGAACAGGCAACAGAACTAACACTGTGAGTGTGACCAAAACCCACATACAAACATGTAAAACTTTCATCATCATTCATTTTCCAAACTCTTACAGTGTCATCCTAAAAAATTTTTTAATTTATTATTAATATTTCACACTTTTATAAGTAAATAATAGTTTATGTACATACAAAACTAAATTTATAAATAACCTCTTTCCATTCCTCTTTCCAGTATCTGTTATAGTTATTATTAAAGATTTTTTTGTTAGAAAATGCTGAATTGGATCAGTTAGCAGAGTATTAAGCTCATTTCTGAAAGTTTACAATCTGTATTAGATAGCCAACATATTTAATCTTTGATGAAAATTCTTTAGTAATGTGACTAACCAATTGTGAAAAATGTTAGTGAATTTCAGAAAACTTTAGCACAATCCTATTTTCCAAGATATTGACAATCCTTTCTCTGTGTTTAGCATTCTTTATTGTGACATAAAAGCACATTAAACTGTTGCTATGGAAAACATCAAAAACTATGTATTTTCTAGTTTTTAATTTTGAAATTTTAATGTTTAATAACAATTACTTTTATTATAAATAAAATGCAAATTTTTGTTGATAATTATAAAATTATTGAAAGAACCAGATATCATTTTTAGTTTTCTTTTGAGATGACATCACTTCAAATGAAATATATTAATTCTTTAGTAATACTGAACAATCTGTCTTATTATTGAACTGTAAGGTCAATTTATTAATGAGATGTAAAATAATTTGACTAGAGAGGCCTAACTGCCTACCTCTAGTCAAAATACTTTAATTATTTAATTAGCCTTATTATAGCATGATAATATGACAGAACAATTGACATTACTTAAAAAAAATCTACATTATGGGTTGTATTTATAGTTCTTTATTAGTGAAAAAATAAGTTATATATACTGTAGATGGGACCAGATCAAATGTTTTTTTCAGTTCCCTCCAAAAGAAATAAATTAATAATAACAACAGTAGATAAATAAATAAAACATAATAAACAAAGTGTAGGTTCCTTACTACACTATAAACAGCTGTGAGAGAGCTATCTGTTCAATTACATATATTATTAACATACAAAAGCTTAACAATAGTTGATTTATATTATAGATTGTTTTAATTTTCTTTCTTAAAGTTATGAGATATCTTACATACAGAAAGGTATGAATTAATAAGACATTTAATAATAGTCTTATTAATTCATACCATTCTGTATGTAAGATATCTCATAACTTTACAGATCTAAAGAATATACATTTTTGACCCACAAATATTTTACATTTTGATACTATAAACTGACATTTTTCTTCTACATGATGTAAACCATTGTATTTTTATATGTTGTTGGAATTCAAATACATTTTATATTAATTCATAGATATATGAAGAATGAAATTTAAATAAATTCCAATCTTTATACATTTTTTATGTAATACCTTTTATTGATAGCTATTAAATACTAAATATTAAAAAATTATTCTAAATTTTCATTTTATCAACATCTTTATAAAATGGCAAAATGTTGATTTAGCACCACCATTTATTCATTTCTAAAACACTGGCACTAAATTAAGTATGGTGTTAAATTGAAATATCTTCAGAACAATAACAATTATATAGTAATAAGTCTACATAAAAGTTTGAATTTCAAAAGGATATTATATGAAAGTTTAAGTATACTAGAAAACAGCAAAACAAAAGTTTTAATACTTAGTTTGAATTTACTAACCAACCAATCTTTTAAAAATTTAATACTTACTTTTGAACCACTGACTAAATAATGAGGAGCTGTAGCAAAAGTATCTAATGATAATACTAAATCTTGATGGCCTTTTAATAACTGGCAGTTGAATGTAGACAATTCAAATACTTTAATATAAGAACTATTAGTAGCAACAGCTATATGAGAACTTTCTTTTCCTATACACTTTATGTCTAAAATATCATCATTGTGTCCTGAAAACTGAAATAAGAACTTTTAGAATTTATTGTTATAATTGCAAAATTATATAAAATAATGCTGATAATTACTCCTCCAAATTATAGAAATAGTGGAAAATTTTATCCAGTAGTTTTATTCAATTATCATTATTTAATATAGTGTAAACAAACTAAACTTGGTTATAGTTTCTATTAATAAATCTGAGATTATTAGAGTATGATTTACTTACTATTTGACTATTATATTCATTATTAAACTATTATGATATTAAATTAATAATAATAAAAATATAAAAAATAACAAAAAATTTATTTTTAAAATATTGCTGAATTGAAGACAGAGATTGAACTGAATTTCAAGAAGCACTTTAATATAAATACAAAATAATTATAAATAAATACATCACTTGATGATAATTTGAAGTAAAAGTTAATATGAATTTTGATTAACTTTCAAATTAAATATAATTAAAACAAATTTAATATATTTAAATAATAACAACCAGACAAACAATTTTGGATCAATTTAAATCTTTTATCCTTTTTAAAATTCCAGCCAGAGACAGATGCAGTTTTACTTTTAGTTAACTTACATTACAAACTTAGTTGATTTACATAAAGAAACATCTGTCTCTGGCTGGAATTTAAAAAAGGATAAAAGATTTAAATTGATCCAAAATTGTTTATATGGTCAGTATTACTTAAATATTTGTAATCATTGAGACTATACAATTTATGTAAATTTAATGTACATTAATATAAAATTACTAAAATGTAGTTGAAGTATCATTCTTCAATAGTTTGAATAAATTAATATTTTTATAAGTTTGCATATTTTTAAAAAGTGTACAAAAAATCCATATTAAAAACAATTCAAGATCTGTAACATTTGTATTTTTTACAATAATATAATCCTCAGATATTGAAAATTTATAGTGTTTGTTTATAATTGGCATTACTTTAAAGCTAAATCAATGTTTAGAAATTCATTTTAAATCACAAAAATAATACTGTTAATTATAGTACAACTACATTTTAACAAGTTTCTATTATATTAAATAAATTTACATATGTTAGACATTTTATTAACAACTTATAATGATATTTTCAACATGGATTTCATTTATAAGTCTTATCTTCAAAAAATATGAAGCAAAGCTTAAAATAAATGAAAAATACAATCAAAAGTAAAAAATATAAATATTCTAATATATAAGTAAATTAAATAAAAACATTATTTTTCTGTATGTAATCAAATTTTTATTTCTAAAATTATGAAATAAAAATCATATTGTTAATATTACCATATGTTAACAAGATTTTTTAAAATATGTTTTTATTGTATTTATACTAAAACCATGACAAATGGTAGGCTATACCATATAAGAAATGTTGTTTTAAAGAAAGACTAAAAGAGAAGCATTGAAAACTAACAACATTAAATAACAATATAGAAAATATCAACAAAGGAAATTAATCCAATAATTTACTGTATCATTCTAAGCTTACAATATCTTATTATAATGTTAATATGTGCTATCAAGTAAACTGTATTCAATTATGGCTGTAACATAATTATTGTCTGGAAATTTTTAGATCATAAATAAAAATATTTGCCTATTTTACTGCTTTCATTCATTATTGAGTTGTTGCATAATTATCATATACAATTTTAACTTTTACAATTTGTTGCTATTGACATCTAAAATCTTTAATTCATTCAGAAATGATAACTTGAAAATTTTTTCAATCAATCAGTCATGATTTTTTGATTATAATAAAGAAAAATTTAACTTATAAATTTTATTTTATATCTTTCTACAAATTTAGCTTCAAATTCAATAATTAAATTAATTAAAACTCTATAAAAACTCATATAATTAATTCATTTTGAAATAATACTCATATATTAATACTTATTTATCAAACATTAATTGATTAAATTTTCATTTTATTAATTTCTTATTAATTAAAAATCATTTATATCATTTAACATTAATAATAACTTTAACGTGATAGAGATGTGAACTATTAATTCATTTTTCATTACTTCAATTTCATCACTTTCTTTCAATTCAATTCATGTATGTATGCATTTTGAATTTTTAAAGAATTCAAAATGTATATGTACATAATTTAAATTCAAAATTTGGTAAGATAGATTTAAAGTTAATTTTTACAAATTGATACTTACTTGTTTTTGCAATTTAAAATTTTCAAGGTCATATAATATTATATTATGTTCATATGTTATTACAGCAATAAGATCTTTAGTGGGGATGTATAAAGCTTTCATAATAACAGAATCAGCTTCTTTCCCAGTAACTGTTATAGGTGACTTTTGAGAATAAACTTTGTTGCTTGTATGAGAATTCCATATGGAGAGTTTACCTGTAATAAATATATTAATAAACCAAGATAAATATCATAATTATTTAACATTTATTAGAACCAATTATATTATCTTTTTCTTTATTATTACTTGCATTGTAAAAATAAAAACAAAGTTTTCATTTTCTTTGATGATATATCAAATCTCTAACAGTTTTGAAATATTTTTACTTTTTTCAGAAATATTAAATTAAAAACAAAGAAACATGAAAAAAAAACAAATTTTTTATATTTATTGAATTTGTTCTTTTTAGGCATTTCTAAATAGAAAACAAAGAAATACCTAAAAAAGCCTATAAACTTTCTTGATGAAACATAGATAAATTTGGACACATCTACAACAGTGTGGCAAAATACTAAAATTACAGTAGAGCATCGATTATCTGACCCCCGATCAACTGTCACATCGGTTAACCGACCGCGTTCTAGTCGGCAAATTCAAATGTCCACTGGTGATGCGGCGCTATAATATTTGTCTATGTCTTGGCTACTTTAATATTATTTTTACATGTTTTAGCTGGCAACACTGGATCAACCATGAAAGGGAGCCAGTATTTAAACGAGGCTTAATTTTCTAATTCTGAGTGGTTGTTTGTTTTGTGAGCAATAAAATAATTTTTAACAATACAAAGCGACGATTATTATTTTAAAAAAAATTTTGTTAGGCTTAACATCGATGAAAATTCAATGCAAAGTAGGTTAATAGTGATATACTAATATACTAATTATATGGGGTATACTAATATACTATACTAATAATGTATTTTTTCATACTTTTTGGTTATCTGTTTTTTCAGTTATCCAACCAACCCCAGTCCCCAATTGGGTTGGATAATCGATGCTCTACTGTATTATCTTTAACTCCATAAAAAATAAATACCTCTATCAAGGACTGTCTATAAATTGCCATAACATTAATCTCTTCAAAATTTTAAATCATTAGAATATTAACATCTAAAAAAATGTTTGGCATATTTAGAAAAATTTATTAAAATATAAGAATATGGTTATTCTGCATAAAATCCAAATAAACTGTAAATAGTTATTTTAGAATAAATGTAATAAAAGTTTTCTGCAGCTATGTGTTCATAAATCTTTTTTTATTACTATTATAATAAAAAATGAAAATAAATTTTTATTACCTTTTTCTCCAGCAGCAATAAAATACAGATAATTAGCATTAACATTAACATTAGGTAATTTGCGATTAGCAGGAATCAATATTATACTGTGCAGAGACTAGAAAAATAATAATAAAATAAAGAAATAACTATTTATTACTTATTAATAACATCTTCATTAAGTAGCAACATAATTTTTTAATTTAAAAAAAATAATAAAATATATATGAGAATTATGAGAATATAATGATTAAATTTTAATCATTAATGAAAAACTTACTTTATAAAACAATGCATTACTTAATTAATAAAAAGTGCTCCTCTATAGAAAAGAATCAGACAAGTTCAAATTTATGATGAATAATGTGATTTAACATAGAAATAAACTAAATAAAAAATTTCTTGAAAATGTTAGTGGTTATTTAATGGTTATTTTAAGTTTTTTCTATTAGAATGCATGTCATCTTAGCTCATTCCAGTTGTACAATTTTTATTTCAAAGCTTTGTATAAAGTCATATAAAATTCTTCAACTAAAAAACATCTTGGATCTGATTATATGTTTTTACTATTTCCATTTCAATAAGATATGCCTGTAAGCTCCCTGCTCTTAGCATTTTTTCTGGATATATATCCAGAAAAAATGCTAATTAAATTAAATTTCTTAAATGCTAATTAAATTAAATTTCTTATATATATATAAGAAATTTAATGTTCAAAATAATCAAAATCTTTTCATACACTAAATATAATTTGCTTTATCTATTTTATACATCCACTAAATAAACAGATATCATTGTATGATACTTCAGAAAAAGAATTTAATATAATGAAAGCAAATTAATTAATATGACTATCTGATATTTATTAATAAATTAAAATAAAAATTTAAAATTCCACATATTTAAATGAAATTATATAATACCTCATAAACAGGAATTGTTTTCAAATTTTCATATGTTTCAATATTCCACATAATAACCACATTATCTCTCCCTGAGCTAAACAAAAAAAAAAAAAAAAAAAAAAAAAAAAAAAAAAAAAAAAAAAAAAAAAAAAAAAAAAAAAAAAAAAAAAAAAAAAAAAAAAAAAAAAAAAAAAAAAAAAAAAAAAAAAAAAAAAAAAAAAAAAAAAAAAAAAAAAAAAAAAAAAAAAAAAAAAAAAAAAAAAAAAAAAAAAAAAAAAAAAAAAAAAAAAAAAAAAAAAAAAAAAAAAAAAAAAAAAAAAAAAAAAAAAAAAAAAAAAAAAAAAAAAAANCATATATATATATATATATATAATTGAGTTATATCAAACCAGTTTTAGGCTTTTCTCAATGTATATATGTGTATGTATATATATAACAGCAAATCCTAATTTTAATAACCAAATAATAAAATGTTGGACCTTCTTGGGCTATATTTATAAAAAAATATGTAATTATTGTCAATACATAATATCAACAACTATCATCTTATATATCCTTTTCTAAGTTGATAATTAGATTTGAAATGCAAATTACATTTTATGTATAAACTATAATAAATTAAAATAATTTTAAAATATTTATTGTTTTCATTAAAAATAACATGAATTCTAAATTTATAAAATAATATTTATATGTTATCAATTTTGGTTAATCAATAAAATTGATTTTAAAGTTTTGTATGTTCTTTATTTGAATGAAATTTAAGTTATTGAAAATTTGTGTGATTTTTAACTTTTTTGCTATTGTATTCACATTCTTGTAATTAATATTTTTCTATTAGTTATTGAGTATAAATTAAGGAAAACTATTTCAAATATAATTAAACTGGAATAACTTTAACATTATTGAACAAGAGATTTAAGAAATACAAACTTTCCACATATAATAATAAAAATTCTAGGTTTAATAAAAGAAAACATTAACTCAAATGTTGATGTGTACTAGATTGAATCAAAGAGAAACAGAGGTTAATTTTTAAATATCTAATGTGGCAAAAATAAAAAATTAAATATTTATTGGAAAATGTAAAATGATCATATTTTGAATGTTCAATAATAAATTAGTTCTCATACTCTGAAAATGATTGTGCTTAAATTGAGGTTGCTATTACGTAAAAATCAAATTATTTTATATAACATTTTATAATAATTTGAGTCATTATTTTGCCACAATAAATTTTTATTTATTTACATATTTGAAAGACAATCATTCTATCTGAATTACATAACATTCTGAAAGATAAATATCTTAGTTGAAACTTTATAATTTCCAATTAATACAAGGTCTGTAAAAATGTAAAAATTATATAATTTTTTTTAAAGCAGTTATAAATATGTGTTGCTGTCAAAGTATAAAATTCTACCTAAAATATATGTATATATAAATTAGAAGTTAATAATAATAAAATTAAGATATCTTCTAATAATCTTCTAATTAAAGAGATCATATTATTTTCAACATAAAATTTTTTAAAGTAATATAATCTCTTTAAATCAGAAAACAATTTTTCTTAACTGAATTTCAATTAAGAAAAATAATTAATTTTAATAAAATTCCTTAAGTAAATATAATATTTTGTAAAAAACTGTTTTGCCACATAAGAATCTAATAAAATAAAAATATCTTTATATATTAAATTTAATATATTTAGATAATTCCTAAATTTATTATTATTACAGTAGAGCGTCGATTATCCGAATCAATCGGGGACTGGGGTTGTTCGGAAAATTGATATTTCAGATAACCGATTATGTACGAAAAAATATATTAACCTATTGCATGTTGAAATTTTTCTCCATTGCGTGTCGCTTCGCGTTGAATTTTCGTCAATGTTAAGCCTAACAAAGACTATTGTATCGTTAAAAATTATTTTTTTATTTTGTACGAACAAAATAAATATATTGAAAAATATAAAAACAATAAAAAATTATACTTCCGAAGTTAATTTAGTATCAAAAACGTAAAATATTTGAGTAGCCAAAGACATAGCCAAAGATTGCAGTGCCACAGCACTGGCGAAAATTTAAATTTGCCGACTGGAATTATTTCGAATAATTGACTTTCAGATAATCGACGCTATACTGTATTATCAAAGAAAGGGATAATATAATTAAATCTTAATTCTAAATATAAAGTAAATGTGCAGATTTACAATTTTGAATCAATCATCATAAAAAAAACTTTTCATTTATAGATTGTTTATGTTAGGTCTATCATATTCCCATTATTATTCAAAAGAGGAAAACACATTAAACTGTTAAATATATAATATTTATCATTTTGGCAATATCTATAACAACATTTACCAATTTGACTATCATTGGTATAATACTCTCATTTGTTACATAATTTTGTTACTGATTATACAAAAAAATTTGTTTTCTGCAAATTCTTGTTTAGAATAAATGTACACCATAATAATATGCCAAATACTAAAAGTGTGTCTTCTGTATTTTATAGTCTTTTTCTTAAAATTAAATTAAAATAATAATTATGAGAATAGCAACAAAATTCAAGCAAAATCAAACTAATACTAAGAAAATCTCAAAAGAGAGAATATTTTTATTATTAAGAAGGATATCTAAAAAGTTATGAGCTACCTGAGAACTTTTGATTCTATAGTGAAGCCTTCAATCATATTGGCATTATCATCTAAGATCTATGGATTGCATCACAATAAATCTGATCTGACAAGTTCTAACCACATGTTCCTCCCATTTTTCAAATGCAACCATGACTACTGATATAATGACAAAATTAGTACTTATTTTATAACATTGACAGTATTAAGACAATTTCAAAAATCTTTATTCCTTTCACAAGTAAATTTTGTGAAGAAAGAAGAAATGAACAACATTTATGAAAATATTTTGAGATTTTACTTGGTATGAATGCAATTCAAAATTCTAATCGTCATGACATCAAACTAATTGGCAAGACAAATTCTGATAAGAACAAATATTTAACAGATTCTGACTAGTTTATATATAATATAAATAACACACATCCATAACTTATCAAAATATCAATTGTTGCATATCCAACCAAAAAATCACAGTAATTAATTAGGCTGTATATTTGCTATTATTAATGATTAGATATTAAGTAACTTGGTACAGTATGGCATCATTTATCCAAAAGCCGGTCAATTGAAACGTCAATTAACCGAAAGCTTTCCAGTCGGCAAATTTAAATTTTTGCTAGTGCTGTGGTTATGCAACCTTTGGCTATGTCTTGGGCTACTCCAATATTTTTTTGTTGGTGTGTATGTTTTAGCTGGCAGCACTGGCACGTTGAATGTTTTTAATACTAGATTAACTTCTAAAGTATAATTTTTTTTGTTTTTATATTTTTCAATATATTTATTTTGCTTGTACAAAATAAAGAAATAATTTTTAATGATACAATAGCCACGATTATTATTATAAAAATTTTTGTTAGGCTTAACATTGACGAAAATTCAACGCGAAGTGACATTCAACGGAGAAAAATTCCAACATGGGATAGGTTAATATATTTTTTCATACACAATCAGTTATCCGAACCACCCAGTCACCAATTGATTCGGATAAATGACACTCTGCTGTATTAGAGGTAGATGCTAGGTACCATCTCTTATCTAAATTAATTATTATAATTTTTAATAATTTAGAATCATTTGGAAGAAACTAGCCGCGAGTGTGACTTGAAACAGCACCCTCTCCTTACTGTGCCAGTTATGCCACCCAAACCTCCAAGCAATTCTTTGCTTCCAGGCATATTTAAACTTTACATATAAACATACAAGATTACTCATGGTGCAGCTGGAAACAACTCCTACACCCACGACCTAAATACACCTCCATTATGGCTGAGTAGGAGTTGTTCCAAGCTGGCACTATGAGTAATCATGTATGTTTATATCTAAAGTTTAAATATGTCTGGAAGCAAAGAATTGCTTGGAGGTCCAGGTGGTATAACTGGCAAGTGCACTGCATGATAAGCAGAGGTTCTGGGTTCAAGTCCCACTCCAGGTTAGTTCTTTTCTTCCAGATGGTTCTAAATTTTTTAATAAATTATTATAATTATTAATTTAGATAAGAGATGATACCTAGCATCTACCTCTAATACCAAATTACTTAATATCTAACTAATCATTAATAATAGCAAATTTATAGCCTGATTAATTATGGAGATCGTATGGTTGAGTATCAATATATTGGCTTCGAGAAGTTTATTATTTAATTGTTGTATATATGTATGTATATAATATTGATGTATAAAAAGGTCTAAAGTAGTTGTATGTAAGACAAAATTAAGCTGTCTAAGTTCAGAAATTAATATAAAAAACAAATTACCTGAAAACACCTTGAGCACCTTTTAAGTTATGTGTACAATACTGTTTAATTATATCCCAAACTTTTATTGTTGAATCACTACCTCCAGTAGCAAGAAGAACATCACTTGCATCAAATGTCATACATGATATTGGGCCCATATGAATTGACTAAAACAAAAAATATTAAATCTTATTATCTGATAATCATTTCCCACAGATATGTTATTTCATGGAAATAACACATTTAGGGAGAATGAATCTTATATAATTATCACAATATAATACAAAGATGAACAATATATATAACTTTTAAGAAGTTAACATTTAATAAATATATAAATAAGTTGTTATTTATATTTAAAACAGAAAAATTCTTATTTACTTCAAATTATGTGTATTAGCTAACCAATTACTTTACAAAATATTAATAGAATAAATTAAAAGTAAGATTTTCTTACATGTTACATGTTAATTTATACATATGTAAACCAAGACTGAATCAAAGAATTCTATAAAGAAACACACTGATATTCCAGCAAAATGACTATTTAATTGAACAAATGTTTTCAACCATTTTTAATGGTCATTCTCAGGTTACATATCCAAAATACAAAAAAAGAAAATTTTCAAAACATTAAAATATAGTCATTCTTTGAAATATGCTTTTTTTTTTTTTTTGTAAAACTGATTTGTAATTTAAATTATGGAACAAATTATTCATGAATCATAACAACTTTTTAAAAATCCTCACATATTTAGAGTTAAAAGGAATGGAATCACTAAAAATATACAAATCTTTGAGAGAAAATAAATGTATTAACATGTGAGATCCTCCACAATTATCCTAATACTATTTCATGACTTTCCTTATGTCAGTTGTTTGTATACATACTTTAAAAAATTGTTTTATTATCTATGTATATGGTTATCTATATATGTATATGTATAGATTTACCATATTTGTTAGTATCTTACTTTTTATTATTTATTTTTATTCATGTTACATAAATCATACTTGTTTTGTTTGTTTGCATTTGGAACATCTCTTAAAAAATTGTAATGGTTCTATATATTTAAATTACAAATTAGTTTTACAAAAAAAAATGCATGTTACAAAAAATAGTTATATGTTTTAATGTTTTGAAATTTTGTTCTATTGTATACTTTGAATATGTGATCTGAGGATGATTCTTAAATGATGATGAAAAAATATACTTATTCAATTAAATAAAACATTTTGCTGGTTTATTAAGGTGTGTTACTTTATTTAACTCATATGACTTCATACTTAAACTAATTGAAATAGTTAATGTATATTTGAGAGTAGAAAATTTTTAAAAAATATGCAAGTTTCCATTCCATAATATATTTCTATCATAGTTTAGGTCTAGAGTTGTTTTCAAGATTTCAAAAACCATGCAACATAAAATTAGAAAAAGACAGCATGATTTATAATTTCAATAACTATTTTTAATTTTTAAAATATTTACTCTTCTTATAATAAATAATGGTTTAGACATACATAGTGTATACTTGCCACTGAATAAAGTCCTTTCAGCTACATTATTAACAGAACAATCAAACATCTATATAAAATAGCTTCATTTGAATAATTTGTAAGAAAATTTTTGATGAAATTAATTTATTGTATCTGCTAATTATTTGATTCAATAGAAAGATTTGTATATAAAAATGATAATTTACATATAATTTTTTTTCTAAAGATATATTTTATATAAACTAGAAAGTTCATGACAATTAAAAAGCTATTAAGAACATGTTAAGATTTCTCAATATTAAATATTAGCATAGTCAATGCAACTTTTGGAATGTTAGCAGATTTTTTACTAAATGCCACTCAAACTATTTCCATATTTTTCTAAATTAAAATAAAATCAAATAATGATTTATTTTCAAAAAATTTGTTGCTTTCTAATACAAAACAAAAGTTGTGCCTCTAACACTATAAACAGAACATACAAACATTTCTCAACATGCATTTTTTAATTTTACCCTTTGGTGAATGTGCTCTTCAGGAGCTCATGAGAGGGCGCATCGCGGCAATTACACCGCATATGTAATATTACTTGATTTAAGTCAATAATTAATTATTGTTTTAAAAATATGAATCAGAAAATACCATGATATACCAGAAAATTAATTTTACGACATTTTAATAAACAAATTTGGTTATAAAATATTTAGATAATAAAAAAAGTTACTCTAGATCCATGTTCACCTTCATACATGGCATATATAATCACTATATTACTATGCTTTTCACAAACATTTCTACCCATTCCTGACAAATTGATTTTTTCCTATTGTTTTTGTGTATGCCACAAATAAAACAAATTCTAGGTTTTTGCTGCTACTTTGGATGGCTCTTTGTTTCCCTTATATTTTTCAAAAATATACACTAATATAAATTTAAAAATTTATAGAAACTTACGACAGTGTTAATTTAATATATTTATTTAATAAACTTGCAAATATTGACTTACTTTATTAAAAAAATTAAACACATATATATGGGACTACAAATCTACTTCACATTAACACAGCCTTTGCATAANTACCCATTCCTGACAAATTGATTTTTTCCTATTGTTTTTGTGTATGCCACAAATAAAACAAATTCTAGGTTTTTGCTGCTACTTTGGATGGCTCTTTGTTTCCCTTATATTTTTCAAAAAATATAGACTAATATAAATTTAAAAATTTATAGAAACTTACAACAGTGTTAATTTAATATATTTATTGAATAAACTTGCAAATATTGACCTACTTTACTAAAAAAATTAAACACATAAATATAAAAGTATAGTGATATTTTAGTTACATGGCAAAGCACATAGTGGCAGTTACAACACAAATGAGGTATAACTTGATTCAAAGTCCAGTAACAACTGAAAGATTAGTATAACAGACCCAATTTCATAAACATGTTGTATCATGTAATATGAAGAGAGAATACTATGACATACTTCTGCAATAATTAAGTACAACGTCAAACAAAAGATTTTATTTTTATTTTGCGGCAGTTTGCCGCAGGTGCATTCACCAAAGGGTTAAGTAACAATTTTATTATGAACAGAAACAAACTGCAAAAACACCAATAGGATACTTTTTCCTGTAGATAGTTAATTACTAATATTCTAAATTAATGCACAAAATACTAAAATTACATAAGATTGTTACCTTCCATGAGCGAATTAATTTATTATCAACAATATCCCATTGTTGTAATAGTCCATTTCGAAAAGATGTGACAAGAATTCTGTCATTATTTCCAAGAACAAAACTTGTCAATTCAAGATCATCATCATCCTGTAAAAGTAATCATCAATTAAAATTTTTATCATTTTTAAAGAGAAAAATTTTTATAAAGTAAGAATCATCATGTTGAAATTTTATTTAAATGTAAGATATTAATAAATTTATCTTATAATAAATTACAGGTATACCTCGCCTTACGTCGGTAATTGGTTCCAGGAGAGACAACGTAAATCGAATTTACTTGTCTCCGAATCTACTTGTCACTAGGCTAAACCATAAATTACCATTCCCGGTTCTATATTTTATTTTAATACATTTTTAATAATATATGGTTAATAAAGATCTATTTTAAGCTTACAAACAAATAAATTTTAGTTTTTAATATAGTACAGAAAAAAGTAAATCTAAATTTACAAATGCATGTACTGTAAATACAGTACATACTTGTAAATGTATATATTTTAATACGATTTTATGTGCTTTAAGCACTTTTCTAGTGATATTACGACTTCAATATTTGTGACGGACAGACATAAAGTTGAATAAAATGACTTAAACTCGATTTTTATTTTTCCATATACTTTTTTGACAAACGACGTGTAATCGGGAATGATGTAACTCAAAATGACGTAAGTCGAGGTATACCTGTATTTGCTAACAGAATTTAAATAACTAACAAAATAAAATAAGTAAATAAAAAATAGTTTTTTTCTACTTCATAATAAGAGCAGTTATAATATAAATTTTCAATNAGAAAAATTTAATTTTAAAATTAAATTCATGCACAGAATTATTCCTCTTCTAAATATGGTTTTACCTAAACATGATAAAAGATATAAAATAATTAAATAGGTATAAATAACATAGTTAAATATTGATAAACTTAAATATTTAAAATATACAGAATTACTTCTATTTCTGAATTATTCTATATAAAAATATTACAAAAAAATCAAACAAAATCTATACAAGTATTTTTAAGAAGAAACATGTACATACTTTTCCAATAGAACTTATAATTTTTCCAGTTTCAACATCAACTATTTTCATTTGATTAGTGCAGCTGCATAGCATTGATTTACCATCTGTTGAAAACTAAAAATAAAAATTGTTAACTTGTGAAAACTATATTTTTCAAATTTAACTTTTATTTTTTTTTATTTTTCTAAAATAATTTCATTTAGTAATAAATCAAATGAACAGTATTAAATCAATTAATTAATTAATAGTAAACTTGACCATTAACTCAAGTAAATAATACAGCAACTGGATAATTTTTAACAGAAATTAAAATAATCATTTTTAAGAAATATAAAAAAATTAACCAAAAAAAATAGTCATTTCTTATCATAATAATAGCTGACTGTATGTTAGTATATTTCATCTACAAAAATAAACAGTTGAATATCTAAAGAACATAGATTATTAGAAAATTCCAAACTATCCTTCATATTCTTCAGATATTGCAACACCAAAAGCTTGTAAAAATATTGAGAAAGTTGAAAATTACAATACAAATAGTCCCCGACATTTGAACATAATATGTCTCTGAAAAATTGTTTGATAGTCAAATGTCTGAAAGCTGAGTAATAAAGTTTCATGTTATAAAGAAACTTCTGTTCCTAGAGAATTAAAAGGAAACATTATAAAATCACTTATTATGGTAAAAAAAGTTCTAATTTTTTACAGTAAACATGTTATAATACATGATAAATTATTTAAAATATTAAAACCATAAATTAAACAGAAAACAGACAATAAAGTTTATTTTTACAAACGATTTTGATGTGACCAAAATCAAAACTGACAGAAAGTACCATCACACAATAGCTTGGAATTTTTGTTTGCCAACTGAAAGTGTACAAAAGTATGACTTTAGTATATGAAAACTGATTTGAGTTATCAAAATATGTACTGTACAAAAGAATAAGTTGTCTAAATGTTGAGAATCTGAAGTTGAGGATCACATATAATACTTTTTTAAAATCAAAATTGCTAAAATTTCTCAAGGATAGTGTCATAAAACTGATAGATAGAAAATCTATTGTACAGTTTCATGCTTTGAATATAAAAACTTCATATTTTATTTAATTTAAAAACAAACTTTTTGGACAAATAGGAAATGTCACTTCAACCATCATCACATTCCAATATAAAATAAGAAATACAAATACAGTGGTACCTCAGGATACGAACGCTCCAGCATACAAAATTTTCAGGATACAACATGAAATTCGAACATATTTTTGCTCCACGATATGAACAAAAACTCACCATACGAAGTTACATTAGTTCACAGCGCCATTTTTTATTCACTTCTGTTCATTGTCTCAGTCCACGTGTTTGCTTTGTCGTGGAAGGATCTCGCTCGATAAAGGAAACCTTGAGGTATTATCAGAAAGTGACTGATTTTATTGAAAAGAAACATCCTGAAAAGGTTCACACTGGCCGTATTGCTGCTCAGAGTAATAACATTTGCCTAAGTTATATTAGAAACATTTTAAAAAGTAGGCAAAGCCAAACTTCTTTGGATAGACATTTTACCATCAGTTGGCCATTCAAGCATCATGACATTTGGTTAAATAAAGAAATTTACCATAATTTTATACAGTTCACTAAGAGGATTTACACTGTTAATAATTCCAGCTTTCACAGCTAATTGCTTTCATTGGCATCAGTGTTGCCTTCTTCCTGTAGGGACCACTCCACGCGAATTGCTGTGAGTGCGGTTTCCCTGCGGCTTGTACATTATGTATATATATCTCTGTTCTTTGTTCACTCTTTACAATTATCTATTGTAATCCGGTCATATTTATAGTGTAATTGTAATTAATCATACCTGTACTCTAGCCCTGATAATGCTACATGCGGGGTCAGGGCATGTACTTTGTACATAATAAATAAAATTAAAGTAAGTAAGACATTTTACCAAGCGACTTCTATCCAGTGAAAGTGCTGGTGGAAGTGAAGGAAAGAAAGCAAAAAGCAGTGAATAAGAATTTTAAAAATATATATAAAACAACACTAATTTTTAAATCTTTTCTAAGTTATTTTTAAGTTATTGTTACATTATGTTATGTAAGTTAAGTTTTAGTATCATTTCCCTTCTCCCTCTCTTCCGCCACCAGTTTACATCTCCACCGTTGTCTATCCTCAAAGGTAAAGTGCAAATATTTTTTTTTAATCAATTATTATTCTATTATGGTTATTTATACATTTACAACTACAAAACGCATTTTTTAGTGTTTTCCTTGCTATTATTTTTTTAATGTACTGTAATACTTAGCTTTAATTTGAGTGTGTTTTTTGTGTTGGAACGAATTATTTGGTTTTACATGTAATCGTATGGGGAAAAATGATTCACCTTACAACATTTTCATGATACGATCTCAGTTTCGGAACGGATTAATTTCGTATCCTGAGGTACCACTGTATTGTATATTCGAATATTAGTGACGGAGTGGAAGCGCTGTATTGTCAGCTTCCAAACAGCCAAATTCGCGCATGCGCTTTACAGAACATCAACCTNGTAATATAGCTAATCACCAAACATATGCCGTAAATCCATCGGGCTAGTTTTAAGGCTAATTACTAAATAAATTACGTAATTAATTTGGCACTAGAGGTAAGCGTTAGGCGCCATCTCTTATTAATATTAATAATTATAAATAAATAAATTAATTTAAATAATTTAGAACCGCTGGGAGAAAAAATAGCCCAATTGATTTTCGGCATTTGGTTGGTGTGTTACAGTAAATTTTTTTCAGATTTAATTGAATTCAATGGTGGATTCTGAAGAACCTAAAGCAAGGTCTAACTCAAAATTTTTAAATATTTTAATAATTATAGGTACTTTTTATTAACATGTGAAAAACAAATGTATTGCAGATGGCAGAGTAAACCCAATTTGCATCATAGATCATAAAACTAATTTTAAAACATTTTGAAGTTTGAGCAAATAAATTTTAATTTTTTTGTGTCAATGAGGAAGGATTAAGCCCCTGTAGCCCTCCTGTAGATCTGACTGAATTGTTTCAAAAGCAAAATCATAAAGTATTAAAAACTATCAAATACTTTTAAACTTGAATTGTTAAAATATAAAAAAAGAAAAACACTTACTTGTATATTTCCACTTTTATAAAAAGCTTCATATTTTGTTAAACAGGTAAAACTATAAAATAGAAAATAATAATGTGCTTAGTCAAAAATCACTATTTGAGATTGATTATTATTATTTCAGATTTTCAAACTGTAAAAGACAAAAAATTAGAGTAAAATAATCTACTATACAAATGATATCAATTACTTTTTATCAGTTTTTTAATAACAATGAAAATATCGGTTAAATTGTAAATACGTATACTGTCATGGTGGCGGTCCCAACTGTTCGTACTCCTGACCGATTCCTCCCGGAGGGGAGCCACCAGCAGGCCACTTTGTGCCAAACGTCACTAGTTATTGATTCACGGTAGTTCTTGAACACACGTATCAATAACTAGTATGAAGTGCCGCCATGATAGTATACGTATGTAAAATTTAACCATTTATTTATAGCTAAATTTGCTCTAGACATTCTTGGATAGATTTAACTAATTGCAATTTATTTTTATTTAGGGTTACATAGAGCAGTCGCATAAAGTACAATTGTTAATGTAATATTTTATCAATCTCTGATTTATATGCATCAGTTTATAAATCAATTTCTATTTAGTGATACTCCTAAATGACAGCCTTTAAACAAAGAACAACAAAAATAATTGCATAATAAAAGATATAAAAAATACACATTTTTGACGTGTTCTATATTTCATTTTTCAAATACTGTATATTTTTATCAAAATGGACCTTCTAAAAGTTTTTGAAGAAAAGCTTCAAAATTATAATTACATCACTGAATTTCCATTGAGCAAATGATCAGAAATATACAAGCATTATATTTTCTTAATGTAGAAGGTATGGTTGCTGTATGTTCAAATTCTGTGTTATATTTTCGTTTAATTTTTTGTCATAAGATTGCTTTTCTTAAGATGTTGAAGAATGATGATTAACTTTAGAATTTCAAAAAATATTTTTAAAGTAAGTTTATCTATCATAATTATTAACTAATTTAGTCGTTTAATATTACCTTTCTTTATAGCCACATGATCGTAAGGAGGTCGCCATACTTATATACTGAATAACACTGTTGCCAGATTTAACAAACTTTATTCAAACATTTGAAAAAAAAAATGTATTATTCGTGGTTACCTTCATTGAATTTAAAACATTTATTTAATTTACTATTATTTAAACTTTTAACTAGAATAAAATTAATAAAAATAAATTAATCTAAAATTTTAATTATAATTTGATTTTTGCACATGGATAATGTTTGCGATCTGAATTTTATCCATTAGAGAAAGACGTGATCTATAGAAGAATTTGCCTAGTGAAGGATGAAAAAAGATGCCGAACTATGAAAAATCATGAAAATGTCACCTGAATCTCTCACTAGAAGACAACGCTATTATATTTATAAATTGATTTTGTCTTCATATATTCTTCTACTAGCTGTTACTCACGACTTTGCCCGCGCGGATTTTGCAAGAAAACGTCATTTATATTCAATATTTCAACAACCATAGTAATTGTTATATAACACCTATCGCTGAGAATGATGAGAATTGCCGAGAATCAAACGAACTGTTTTCAATTTGATCAATTTTCTGGATCGTTTACAATCGTTCTATAATCGAACCAATATGCAATAACAAATTCGAATTTAAAACGGTTCGAACATTTGGTTAAAAAATCGAAATATATAAAAATATTTATACAATGTCTGAAATGTTATGAATTTAAGGGGAAGTATGGAAATCAATTTCAAAAGCCGTTCTTCAGGTTAAGCATTAATGCTCTCCCTCTCCCCCCGCGGGAGAATTTCGAAAAAATCTCTTCGTAGTATGCGTTTTCGTGACATACCCTAACTGTGTACCAAATTTCACCTGTTTAGGTTCAGCGGTTTGCTCTGGGCGATGATGAATCAATCAGTGACTCAGTCAGTCAGTCAGGACAAGTAATTTTATATATTTAGATAACATTTAACATTTAGTTTTTTATTAACAGTAGACCTTTTTTTTCTATCGGCTGGAGGATTTACTATTTCGGACATGGGAGAATAGTCCATGGACAAGGGGCCTTACGGAGCCTTATCGATCTGTGAACGAATTGGACGGGCTGAAAAAATTGCAGGAATTTTTCGGGAGTAGTTCTCCCGACAATATATTCGGATCCAACCGGCCGCTTCACTGTGGGCTTGGCCGAACTCACAATGTGTTGTTTAAGAACACCCTCTTAGCATCCAAAGGGTGGAAAGAATCCAAAATGAAAACTAAAAGTTGCCATCGTATTCTTAGTTTAATTAAATTGTTTATTTTCTATATTCATTTTTAATATATGATTAAATTAATTGTTCATTAGTACTTCTGACAAAAATGACGTGTCTATAAATTAAACGAACACAGAATTTTGAAATTTAATGACTGATGACCCTCTTTCAAATATGTTTTGAAATTTTACTTAATAAATTTGACATTTTTATAGGATATTTTTTGTGTATTATGCTTATTAATTTTTTAAACTCTGCTTCTCAAGCATAAACCTCATAAAGCCTGGCCAAACCTCATGCTCACCATGATGTTTGGCCAGACCCATGTTAAAGTAGCCATTTAGTAAAAGACGGAGTCCGACATATTCAGGTCTAGCAATAAAAACTTCTAAGGGTTCGAATCGAATTTGAACCCAAATTCCTCAAAACTAAGTTTGAAGTTTTTACTGTCAAATATTTAATGTAAACTGAGTAACTCTCAAAATAGTCTTTTTAATTAAAATATTTTCTGACGTAAAAATAAATGTGAAATACGAATATATATATATATATATATATATTTAATTGAAATAAAAATCATTCCTAAAACTTAGATTAAGCAATGAATTTGCCTGCATTTTTGGATACTTAATTACAACTTTTTTAATTAATTGTAACTCTCTTTATTTTGCGACGTAACTATAGAAACTGTTTTAAACAGTGTTGTTTCACAGAAAAGATAGATTTAAATTTTTTTACTAGTTACATTTTTTTAATATAAATTTACTTGCTTTTTAATTAAAGATTTTTAAAAATTTTAATTATCAACGAGTTAATATTGATTAAACTATCGGGCTGCCTAGTTAATAGTAAATCGATATTAGTACAACCTAATTAGAAATCACTGTCGATAATACTGTATAAAGGTAGAGTACATCAATGAAAACATTTCTAAATACCTGTCGATAACATAAAAAGAGGACATGCCTGGGAAATTCCAGATTTTAGGCATTCTTGAATAATAAATAGCTTTACGAAATAATTCGGATTTTATATCTAAATAATATACTGTACTATTTTACTGAAATCCGTTGATCCTATATAATTACTGAATTCAAAATAAAAGATTATATTCAGAGTTTGTTTACAAAATTAGCCCACTTGTTGCTGAGTAGATAAAACCACAAAACATTGATTGTTGGTCTTGGGTTCTTCTCTAACCAGCTGACTGGCGATATGGAGTTTACAGTTTTTTTTTACGTATCTAATATCTAAACGGGCTAATTTCCTCTCGGAAGGCACACCCTCTTGGCAGATCGCCCACCTGTTACTTTGCCGTTTCCCTTCAAACCAAACCAAGACTTTTATTTATTTATATACGACAATATTAATTGTCAGTGATTACGGAATTTAAGTTAATTTAAAAAAGTCACGAAGGTTAATAATTGAAAGTATTATTAATTAATAAAATTGTTGTTTTAGTTTCAATTCGGTCTTTCTTTACCTTGGAATTTACTTGTTTACAAAGTAGCTTACATATAATTGTTGTTTTTGAGTAAATGTATTAAAAATTACGAAATTTGGTTATCTGAGTGTACTTCCGATGAAGTATGAAGTAATAGCATAGAAGTTATTTATATACGAAGAATTCGAGACGATTTGGAGAATTAAATTCAGAAGTTTCCGAATTACAACGCTTAAACCAAATGAATAAAAAATATTTTTTTAAGTAACTTTCTCATTTCGAAATTGGGAACAGAAATAAATTTGAGGTATTTTTATAATGCGAAATAAAACGGCTAAATGTATAGTATGGAGGGTTAAAGCGTTAGCCTATCGCTCTGGGATCAGGGATCGAATACGGACGGTTCCTACCAGATAAATGTGGTCACCTCCATTTTTACAATAGAGCGGTGCATTTTTATTTTTTTATCAAGAATGGCCCGCTCCATTGTGGGCCTGGCCGAACCCACGATGGTTTTAATAAAAAGAGCATATTAGTGCCCACAGGGTTGAAAGAATACAAAAAATACTGCACACAGTATATAATGTATATACTAGTTAACCTATACTCATAGGAATAGGCTACGTCAATATAAACGATTTAATAAATTGCGCAGAGTCTGGAATCATTCCCATTTTCTTTCTTACGTTCAACGATTTGAAAATCGTCGGTAATTGCCTAATCGAGAATTCAGCTTCATTGATTTCGTTCTATATAACTCCATGTGACTGGATACTGTCACGTGACAGACCTGGTTGTTATAATGGAGGTTACTAACAAGATGGCTGTCAGTATAAATATAGAGAAGGGATGTAAAGCATCCACTTCGTTCAACAGACAGAAATGCTGTCCGAATATTGTTTTTAGGATTTATAAGCGCCTTTGGCAGATTATAGAAATTGGTTAAATTATTTAAATATACTATATAAAGTAAAACAGTAAAGCATCGTGCTAACACGTACAAGACGGTGTCTTTCATCTTGGTATATTCAGGTAAGCTTCTCCACTTCGTAGACCGACGATCGAGCGAATAATTCCTAACATGTTTGTTTTTATGTAAATTACAAGTAATAAAATCGGATCGAAAGCGTGGGCGCATTTCTATCCGATCATTGTAGACAATGGTAATTTCTTTATGGGAGAAACAATGTGGAGACAGCCATTGCTGCTTTGCAACGAAATCCAACCGGGTTTTAGTCGTTCCGACGTCCGAAATTGACAGCCCAGTAACAATGCAATAATATATAACAGATGGTATAGAATTACGATCGAGATCATTGGTTTGTATGTTGAAGTGATGACAATGACCAGTTTGAGAATTAATACCATCAGCTTCCTGTTTATAATTTTGAAGATGTAAACTAAAGATTGGAACATAATGAAATCCTCAATGTATTTTAAGTATTCATTTACAGGAAACAGATTTATTTGTCTTTTTCTAGAATGAAATCACAATGATGGTGAATTTGATATTTTAGCAATAAATTCATCATCAAGTTGTAAACAAAATGAATGAAAGATTCTTTAAAATGAATAAAGATTAGTTGTGTTGTTGCATTAGAAAGAGCTGGTGATAATTTGAAATTTTCTTGAGATTATATAATATGTTGAGTTTAATTGTTTTTGCAAACAACTTTAAACAAATAAATTTTAAGAAGGAAGAGTTATTTATCATCATTTTATTTAGATAATGTATGCGTATACGTAATAAAATTTTCAACAATATTTGTTTATAAATGATAAATATTTATTACAAAATCTTATTTAAAGATTTAAGTGTTTAGATATATTTTCATGTTTTCTAATTAGTTGATTACAATGAATATGATTTTAAGAGTAATTTTAATTATTATCTGGAATATTGAACAGAAACTTAGTTAGTTGTGCTATATTTTATACATATACTGCATATTGTACAGTTATAATTTATAGAATTGATTTATTCTTTATTGAAATGATAATCTCTAGCAGGTGTTTCTCATAAGTAATATTATATAATATCAGTATAGATTATATATAGTAGGCTACAAATGAAATGTTAAAAATTATTTTACTTTTTACTAATTGAAAGCACTAGTTTCTCTCTAACATCTTGGTTGTATATTTCAGATGAGCTGGAAACATATATATGTATGTATGTGTATTTATATATATATATATTATATTACTAATTTAGTGGGAATTGTTCAAAAATAGTTAAAAAAAAAAATAATTGTCATAATTTTCTCAATTTTATTTACAGATATATTAATTGTAAATAATTGAAATGCTAAATTGCAACAATAATTACAATAACAATAATCTGTTTTATTGGAGTTCACTTTAATAATGGTCTTTCTCAAGTACTTTTGGCCTTGGTTGTTCAAAAGTACTTGACACAAGCTCATCATCAAAAATATATAGATGTCTTCTGATGTTGGGCTTGATTGCCTGAAAGCACTTGAAAAAACTGTCGTTAAAATGAACTTCAATAAAGCAGATTATTATTATTATATTTTTAAAGAACTTAGAGTTGTTTTGAATTAATACTAAATTTACATTTGTAATGTATTGTTTGGTACACATACTGTACATTAAATACACCCAGTATAAGCTTTATATGCTGCAGGGTCAGTTTTATTGATATAATGAATTAATATTTGACACTTAGAATTGCCATTTCAATTCATTTGAATGACATGCCATTAATTATTAAATATGATTCATGTTTACATCAAAGAAATGGTTTTGAAAATTTTTTTTCCAATTTTCTGGTATAATGATGTGAAATGAGAGTAACAAAATTAATTTCATTTTATTTATTTTATTCTAAGTTAGATTTAGCAAATGCATAAATTAAACAGAAATATAAAATCCCCCATGAAAGAAATTTGTTTAAAGTTTTGATAGAGAATGAAAAATAAGGAAGTAAAAACAGGATCTTAAGACCAGACTAATTAAAATTTAGAATAAATGTAACAACTGTTAGTATTTTTCTGTGGTACTTATATTTCAAAAAGTAAATGCTATTATTATTATTATTATGATGATTATTTTAAATTATTTTTAAGCAAAATAAAAAGTTATTTATTATTTTAACAAAGTTAAGAATTAGGCTGTAAAATTTGTTTTGATATAAGTATTTGTTTTGTATTGTTTTACATTTTTAACATTTCTTAATACAAATTACACTAGTTGTAAAAATTATATGATATAAAATGGAGAAATTAATATTTTATGCATAAACATATACTGATATTTTTTAGAGATTATTATCAGATTTTATTGGTTTTTATCAATAAAGTCCTGTAATGACTAACTTCTTATGGAAGGGATAACTAGATAATGATAGGTTTTTTTATGAGCTATGTGTTGTTATTTTAGTAACAAATTGAAAGTTTGCAATATGCAAAAGTTTATATTGCTAATAATGTTTAACAGAAATTTATGTTTTAGTAAGAAAGTCTATAATTTATTTGATTAAAAAAAATTACACTTAATAATACTATAAGATATCAACTACTAATAATAATGTTTATTTATTGATTCATTTATTACTACAATATGAAATAATGGAGGTTACTAACAAGATGGCTGTCAGTATAAATATAGAGAAGGGATGTAAAGCATCCACTTCGTTCAACAGACAGAAATGCTGTCCGAATATTGTTTTTAGGATTTATAAGCGCCTTTGGCAGATTATAGAAATTGGTTAAATTATTTAAATATACTATATAAAGTAAAACAGTAAAGCATCGTGCTAACACGTACAAGACGGTGTCTTTCATCTTGGTATATTCAGGTAAGCTTCTCCACTTCGTAGACCGACGATCGAGCGAATAATTCCTAACATGTTTGTTTTTATGTAAATTACAAGTAATAAAATCGGATCGAAAGCGTGGGCGCATTTCTATCCGATCATTGTAGACAATGGTAATTTCTTTATGGGAGAAACAATGTGGAGACAGCCATTGCTGCTTTGCAACGAAATCCAACCGGGTTTTAGTCGTTCCGACGTCCGAAATTGACAGCCCAGTAACAATGCAATAATATATAACAGATGGTATAGAATTACGATCGAGATCATTGGTTTGTATGTTGAAGTGATGACAATGACCAGTTTGAGAATTAATACCATCAACTTCCTGTTTATAATTTTGAAGATGTAAACTAAAGATTGGAACATAATGAAATCCTCAATGTATTTTAAGTATTCATTTACAGGAAACAGATTTATTTGTCTTTTTCTAGAATGAAATCACAATGATGGTGAATTTATTGCTAAAATATCATTTTAGCAATAAATTCACCATCAAGTTGTAAACAAAATGAATGAAAGATTCTTTAAAATGAATAAAGATTAGTTGTGTTGTTGCATTAGAAAGAGCTGGTGATAATTTGAAATTTTCTTGAGATTATATAATATGTTGAGTTTAATTGTTTTTGCAAACAACTTTAAACAAATAAATTTTAAGAAGGAAGAGTTATTTATCATCATTTTATTTAGATAATGTATGCGTATACGTAATAAAATTTTCAACAATATTTGTTTATAAATGATAAATATTTATTACAAAATCTTATTTAAAGATTTAAGTGTTTAG